CCCCGCCCCTGGTTCAAAACAGTCCAGTGGCAGCTTTAAGACCAAGTTTTATTCAGGTACAAGCTCTCCCTCCTCTACAAGGACAGATTTGCATGTCCAGCCACTGTGCGCTATCTCAGGCTTGACCTTGTAGTCTCCAGCTGCACTTACTCGGCTGGGAACGCAAAGCGCGCAAACCATAACCATTGGCTTTTGCTCATTGCGGGGGGTATGTTTGATTTCACTATAAGTCAGAGGCCCTTATACTGAAGGCTATTCGGGGTCATTTCGTAGAAAAAGAGCTAGGGGGACTCATTAGCATAACTCATTAGCATATGCCACACCCCCTGACATCACCGGAAGTGTGTCCTCCCCACAGCCGGCGGCGACCTCCAACGGGCACCAGCAGGGAGCTCCAGGCCCCGCCCTCCCGCACCTCACCCGGGGGGATGGCGTCCCCCCGCGTCCCCCCCCAAATGACCCCTGCCCACTTGCATATCGGGCACTCTACGAATATGTAGGTTCAGGCTGCAAAGACTCCTGCATCTTACTCTCCAGGTCGGGGTGGGGACAGACACTGAAGAATGTGGACATCTTGCCTCCAAACAAAAGTTATGTTCTCAGTTTTCACTTGCTCCTGCGGCACCAAGTAGGAATTGTATGATTAGGATGTTGTGACTCTCTGATCTGGCTCCAGCAGAGGGTATATGATCCAATGGTACTTTACATGAACAAACAATGACTTAAAAAGGCAACTGGCTGGGCCATCTATGTTTAATCTCTTAGGAAATTCAAGAGGGATTCACTTGTGTGGGAGAAAAAGATAACATTTGGGCTTTTTTAACAGAGTGTCGTATCTAGATTTATTTTAATAATAAAAGTATTTTATCATGCTATACACAAGTGCATTTTAGTAACAGTGTCTAAGTATCTGTTCCTAATTATCTGGAAGTGATATAGGTTAAGATTTCTTTTGCTGATGGTAGCATTTGGGATGTTACTCTCTCTTAATGGGGCAGTGGATTTAGACCAAAGAGTTTCTCATCCAGATGAAATCCAATCTTCAAAACAAAAACAGTACCAGTGTGAGTGCCCATGTGGTGTAGTGGTTAGTCTATGACCAGGAAGGCAGGGGCTGAAATCCCCCCAGAGCAATGAAGTTTGTTGGGTGACTGTGGGCCAGTCACACTTCCTTTCCTTTGTGAGTATAATGGGAGAAGGAAAAAAAACCCATCACTCCTATCTCCCTGGAGAATGATTGGGGAACAGTGCAGTCGATAGATAGTACTGCAACATATCCAATTTAATGGGAGGGGTTGGCTGCATCTTATATGATACCTGAACCAGCAACTAAAATCCTCAGTCTGTTTATAACCTTCTATGTCTGGTTATCCACATTTCTCAGCCTTTTTTGTTCTTAAATCCTCAGGACAGCTCATCGGTCATCCAGTTTGTAACGAGAGCAAAGGTGAGGGTGGACCCCACCAACTGGGCAGTAGAAGTGCCCAATGGTAATTCGGAAGATGCAACGGTAAGCCCGAAGCTTGTGTCGGCGTTGCTTGTGTCACTCATCTGGAATGTGTTAGAGGACCTTGCACTGAGCTAGGAATTTGTGGCCAGGCTCAAGCTTTGCATACAAAAATGAAGGAGCGTGCCTTTCTTTGAATATGCCGGTGGTGCTGCTGCTTCACAAATCCTCCTGTGGTTTTGCTTGCTGTGATAAGCCTTGTCTCTGTGGCAAAGGCTGCTTTGCGGAATACTTGAATGCACACTGTGAGGCAGAGCAGCCAATGTGTAAAGGCCTTGGGTATACCTTTGTTCTAAGCCATAAATATGTTCCCCTCCTCCTCCCACCCCCAAGCTAAAACCTGCTTTAATTGAACACAGGTTTTTGGAAATCCTGGAGACTTATCCCCTTCAGGAAGATCAACTCATATGGGAAATTCTGAAACACTTAATAGTTAAGTTAATTATGTAAAATGGTAAAAAAATAGTTAAGAGGACTCAGTATTCAGTGTAAAAGACACTCCTTTTTCTTTCATGTCCTCTGTTGGATTAACCAGAAAGTGATATTTGATTTACGGCACTTGTTCCGCAAATGGAATGCCCCAATTCTTCAGTGGTTAGAGAAACTACTACAATTGGTGGATTTGAGGGGGGGGGGATTTGCCTTAGGAATTTGAGCTGACCTAGTAAGTATTCTTTGCTGCTATTGGCTGGGGTGATGACTTCATCACTCCATTCCCCAGCCAGGTCTTCAGCCAAATAGTTGGTCTTCTTGAACATGGGGGAAAGAGGAGAGTTATATTGTCACTGACAAATGTTACTACCTTGAAAGAAAAACAGATCTGATCATTTTTGTTACTGAAACACAGGGTTGCCAACCTCCAGGTGGTTACATAAGTAGAGAGATCACGGGACAGATTGTCAAACTAAGTATACATGCCATGAAAAATAATTAAAATGGCAATTTATATAAACGACTACATTTATGTAATGAAATAGGTATCTCAGTTTCTATGTATCAAAAATTCAACAGTCTTTTCTTGTCCCTTATAAACTGCTGATACGATCACATTCATTTATTCAACAAGTGAACTCCATATATCTCAACCATCAAGTGTCCTTGCTGTGATTTGACCTTGTTGAAAACTGGAAGTGATGGAGGTTGTCAGCCTTTGAAAAATAGAGTAGAATAGGAGTTATCATACCTGTAGATTCTGAAAATTCTATGGAAGACCTAACAAAATGACATGCAAAACATCTGTCACTAAGCCTCTTTAAGAGAAGCTGCTTTGGGAGGGTCAGTTTTGAGTGGAGAAACAGCCTGGGTAAGGACTTTTCAACATTGCTACCAGGTTGGGGCAGTCCTTGGGAAAGGCTTCCACTTGCATGTTCAAATAATAAATGTGTGGGCAAGTGTTTTTCATAATTCTCCAGACCGGACCAGCGTGGGTATCTGGGGTATTTCCCCCACTGGTCTTGCGGGAGCAAGCCTGCCACAGTCTTCTTAGTTCATGTGTATTTACAAGAGGAAACACATCTTTGGAACCTCATGGGTGAAAGTAGTCTGAGATGACGATTTGAAATGGAGAAGCAGTGAGCAGGGAAGGGGTTAAGCATTCCATCACTCCGATGTGCCTCCAGTTTAAAATGGCCTCCTCATACAAGTTACTTCATTCTCTCTCTCTCTCTCTCTCTCTTTGTTTTTTTTAAAAAGGTCGTCTTGTTAAGGGTATGTGCTTGTAACATTGATTTCATCATTGTGGCTTCTGTGCAGTCGCACATGGGGGCTGCATGTGCACAGGCCAGGCACAGAAAAGATTTCCGAAGCTTTCTAGTAGACTAGGAGTGCCACTCCTCCCTCTGGCACTTTCCCGCCAAAAACAGGTATAATAACAATTGATTGGCACAGTAATGAGATAATACAGAGAACAAGAAAAACTGTGAGAAAGTGACGCTTAATATATGTCTTTAAAGAATCATAGGAAAGTGAACAAAAATAATATACATAATCATAGAAAAATATATATTGACGGTGATCTCCGGAATGTCTTGCCATTTCAAAGGAAGATCTTCTTCTGAACAAAGATGTGGGACAAAAACTGTCTCTCAATAGTTCATATCATACCAGCTGTAATGTATAGTAGAACCTGCATTACAATCATCTTAGCCCATGGCAGGTTCTACTATACATTACAGCTGGTATGATTATTGAAAATCTTCTTTGATAATTGTGAGATGTCACCAGAGGATATGAACTATTGAGAGACAGTTTTTGTCCCACATCTTTGTTCAGATCTTCCTTCTAAACGGCAAGACATTCCGGAGATCACCTTCAATATATATTTTTCTCTGATTATGTATATTATTTTTGTTCACTTTTCTATGATTCTTTAAAGACATATATTGAGCGTCACTTTCTCACAGTTTTTCTTGTTCTCCATATTATACTTTCTCGCCAAAACCATCACATGAGTAGGAGGAGGGGTGGTACTTCCTCAGTTCTCTTTATGCCACTGCAAAGAGACAGTCTCCATTTCTGTACTCTGTTTTTTCCTTCACCTCATTCTTGAGGCGAGTTGTTTCTGTCAAAAGGATTTTTTTGGTCATCAATAGTCATTCTAGTGATGAATAAGCTGCATTTAAAGAAAAAAGTTTAGTTATGGGTATGTGCGTGTAGCATTGAGTGAGTCTCTGTGTCACCTGATTCCCCCTTTCGTTGACAGCAGTTACCATCTATTTATTCTGGATGTAATCCAGTGAGCCCTATTTAAAAACTTAGAAAATATGAAATCGAATTCCCTGTATATCTGAAGTTGGGATGGTGGTGGTCTCTGTGGGTAATCCTGATCCATGCACAGATCTGGCTTCATTATGTCTTCATTAGATGTTACTGAAAACAATTCCAACTTTTGGAATATTGGCTGGCCTGCTGATCCTGAGTAAATTCCACTGATTTCAGGAGAACATGCCTCCAAGCAACTGTGGTCGGGATCACAACTTAATACCATTTGGCTGCCATTTTGAATGGATCCTATGGGTTTAGAGCCACAGTTCAAATTACCCTGGATGAAATCAGGAACAGAAATATTCTTAAAGTTTTAAGAACCCAAAATACAATTGTGTTTATACTACAGATTGGCCAAAATTCAACATTCATCCCAACAAGAACTTATGAGGGTCCCCTACTACATAAACTAGCCATATATTTGCTTGCTGCGGCCAGACATTTTAGTGGTGCCAGGAAAGAACTGCACCATCAGAGAGGCTGTCCTATGATCCCTTGCAGTGTTTCAGGGCTGCTTCCCAGTATATTCTGTAGCAAAAGGACCCTGTCTGTGCTTGCTTTCCAGATCATGCATTTCTAAATATACATGTATTATTTAGATATTTATACTCCACTTTTCTCTCCAGCAGAGACAAAGCAATTTACAACATTGTTCTCCCTGCTTTCATTTTATCCTCGTACCAACAGCCCTGTGAGGGAGGTTATGCTGAGAATGAATAACTGGCCCAAGGTCACCCAGCGAGCTCCACAATAGAGTGGGGCTTCAAAACTGGATCTTCCAGATCTCTTGGGCCAGTTTATTGCAAATGAGCTTTTTTATCAGCCCAACAATAACCACCCTCTTACCCAGACTTTCAACAGTGTTTCTTTCTATCTTATTGCTGTGACTGATCACCTGTTAAGGAAAGCTCTACAAGGTGCAAATTAGCTTAAAAGCTGACTATCACAGCTCTAGTGCCATCATCATGCCTATAAAAGACTCCTAGGAGTAATCTGGATGTAGTCAGTTCATCTTGAAGCTCTGAAAACAGTGCAGTGCTTTCAGGACATCATTTGTGCTCCAACATGAGGAGGAGGAGATTGAATTTATACCCCGCCCGTCACTACCCAAAGGAGTCTCAGAGCAGCTTACAATCTCCTTTCCCTTCCCCTCCCCACAACAGACACCCTATAAGGTAGGTGGGGCTGAGACAGCTCTCTCGAGAACTGCCCTTGAGAGAACAGCTGTGAAAGAACTTGTAGGTGACCCAAGGTCACACCAGCAGCTGCATGTGGAGGAGTGGGGAATCAAACCCGGTTCTCCCAGTTTAGAGTCTGCACTCTTAACCACTACACAAAGCTGGCTCTTTGCTCAAAACCAAATGATACTTGCCTTACTTTCTTAATGCCAAAGAAAAGTACTCATCACCCCATGGGAATATTAATTTAAATGCCTTGCTTCTGATGTATTTGCAGGTATGCAACTCCCGTGTGTGTGTGTTAAGTGTAATCAAGTAACTTCCAACTTATGGCAAAGCTATGCATTTATTTATTTATTTATACTTTATTTATACTTTCAATTTGTACCCCGCTCACCCCCGAAGGGCTCTGAGCGGCTTACACGGTGCATGGTGCAGAGACCTATGCAGAAACCCTAACTATGGCCACAGTATGTCTGGGGTGGGGGGAGCCCTACCAGGTAATGACATCCAAAATGTCCTAACATTAACAGCCTTGTTCAGGTGTTGCAACCTGAGGGCCCTCGTGGCTTCCTTTATTGAGTCAATCCATCTCATGTTGGGCCTTCCTCTTTTCCTGCTGCCTTCAGTGTTACCTAGCATTACTGTCTTTTCCAGTGGCTCTTCCAGTGTGACTTCTGGATGCACAGCAGAAACTGGCACAGGCAAGTGGTGTCATCATCTGCAGCCACGCTGGGTTCTGCTATCCATTCAGTAGCTTGCTGGCATGGTGCTGCAGCCATGGCCCCACCATCTCCACTTCGCCTCCTGATGCCCTCCAGTAAGGACACTATCCACACACACACATACTCACACACTTCAGTGGTGGGAGCTAGAGGCCTCCCTGTGAGCTGCTGTTAAGCTAGCACCTTGAGCTGAGCCTGGAAGTGGATTGTCAGCTCCTTCATTTCAATTATCAGATCAGAATCACATTGTTCTAGAATTCAGCCTTTACTCAGTGCAGAAGTCTAGGTTCCTCTGTTCATTCACTGTGTTCTCTTGAATCATTATCTGCCAGATAGA